AGGGAAATGAAGGAATGAAAGGGAATAAGTGAGGGAAATGAAATGAAGAGAAAAGCTCCCCGTGTGGGTAAGCAGCAAATGAGGCTGGAAACCCCATTTTGGGGAGAAAAGAGGCTGAAACAGCTCCAGTAAATCCCCATTTTAGTGAGAAAAGAGGCTGAAACGATTCTATTGAAGCCCCATTTTAGGGAGAAAAGTTGAAACAGTTCTATTGAAACCCTATTTTGGGGAGAACAGAGACTGCAGCAGCTCCATTGAAACCCCATTTTGGGAAGAAAAGAGAAACAGCTCCATTGAAACCCCATTTTGGGGAGAACAGAGGCTGAAGCAGCTCCATTGAAACCTTATTTTGGGGAGCACAGAGAATGAAGCAGTTCTATTGAAACCCCATTTTAGGGAGAACAGAGGCTGAAACAGTTCCATTAAAACCCCATTTTGGAGAGAACAGAGCTGAAACAGTTCCATTAAAACCCCATTTTGGGGAGCACAGAGAATGAAGCAGCTCCATTAAAACCCCATTTTTGGGAGAACAGGGAAACAGTTCCATTGAAACCCCATTTTTGGGAGAACAGAGAAACACTCCATTGAAACCCCATTTTTGGGAGAGCAGAGCTGAAACAGCTCCATTGAAACCCCATTTTTGGGAGAAAAGAGACTGAAACAGCTCCATTGAAACCCCATTTTTGGGAGAGCAGAGAAACAGCTCCATTGAAACCCCATTTTTGGGAGCACAGAGCAGAAACAGCTCCATTGAAACCCCATTTTGGGGAGAACAGAGAAACAGCTCCATTGAAACCCCATTTTTGGGAGCACAGAGCTGAAACAGCTCCATTGAAACCCCATTTTTGGGAGAGCAGAGCTGAAACAGCTCCATTGAAACCCCATTTTGGGGAGAACAGAGAAACAGCTCCATTGAAACCCCATTTTTGGGAGCACAGAGCAGAAACAGCTCCATTGAAACCCCGTTTTTGGGAGAGCAGGGCTGGAGCTCTCCATGTGCAGCCCCCGGCTGTGCTGGCTCTGGGAGCAGAGCAATGCCTTGGTGAGGTCAGATTGTGATCTCACTAATCTGTTTGCACAGTGCTTTGAACNTGGGGGGGCTGCGCTGTGGTGGTGAGGAGAAACACCATGAGGAGAAACACACACTGGGAGAAACACCGTGAGAAACAGCATGAGAAACACACACTGTGAGAAACAGCATGAGAAACACACATAACAAACTCCATGAGAAACACACACCATGAGGAGAAACACCATGAGGAGAAACAAACACCATGAGAAACATACACTGTGAGAAACAGCATGAGAAATACACATAACAAACACCATGAGAAACACACACCGTGAGGAGAAACACCATGAGAAACACACACTGTGAAAAACACCATGAGGAGAAACACACACTGTGAGAAACACACATAACAAACACCATGAGAAACACACACTGTGAGAAACACCGTGAGAAACACACACCGTGAGGAGAAACACCATGGGAACCAAATACACACACTGTGAGGAGAAACACCATGAGGAGAAACAAACACCGTGAGAAACACACACTGTGAGAAACACCATGAGAAACACACACTGTGAGAAACACCATGAGAAACACACATAACAAACTCCATGAGAAACACACACCGTGAGGAGAAACACCATGGGAACCAAATACACACACTGTGAGGAGAAACACCATGAGGGGAAACACACACCGTGAGAAACAGCATGAGAAACACACACCGTGAGAAACACCATGAGAAACACACATAACAAACACCATGGGAAACAAACACCATGAGGAGAACCAAACACCATGAGAGCCAAGTACACTGTGAGGAGAAACACATGAGAACACCATGAGAACAAAACACCACAAGAAACACCATGGGAACCAAACACTATGGGAAACAAACACCATGAGAAACACCATGAAAAACAAACATCATGAGAAACAAACACCATGAGACCCAAGCACCTTGAGAAACAAGCACCATGAGAACCAAACATCATGAGAAACACACCATGAGGAGAAACACATGAGAAACACCATGAGAACAAAACACCACAAGAAACACCATGGGAACCAAACACTATGGGAAACAAACACCATGAGAAACACCATGAAAAACAAACACCATGGGAACCAAACACAGGGAGGACAAACACCATGAGACACAAACACCATGAGGAGCAAACACCCTGAGGAACACCCACCATGAGACCCAAACACCATGAGAAACACACACTGTAAGAAACAAACATGGGAAACAAACAGCACGAGAACCAAACACCATGAGGAACACTGAGAGTCTGAATGAGGTCAGCTCATCCAGAGGTGTGGGAATCAGGGCAGAGCAGCTCAGGGCAGTGGCCTGGAGCTTTTCCCTGTCAGCAAATCCTTCCCTGGGAGGGTGGGGAGGCCCCAGAGCAGCTGTGGCTGCCCCTGGCAGTGCCCAAGGCCAGGTTGGGCAGGGC